CTCTGTCTTTCTCCTGAATTCTCGGATGGCATTTCCGACTGCCATCAGCACCCGTATTGCAGTATTCTAGAAGCATATCAAACTCAGTGTTTCCCAAATTGAGATCAACTTTTCCCTCTAAACATGTTCTTCCTCCTAAAATGTTTGTCTCAATTTCTACCACCAATTTCATTCCTAGTTTCCATTTTCACATGTATAAATGCCGAGTCCTCATGCAACTCGTATTTGGCTTTCAACCCCATTAAGCCACAAAAGGGAGTTCCCAGCAGCACATCTTGTGATTCAAGTTTTTCCCTTTAATTTGCTTGTTTGCCTCCTTACAGTCCGCCCACGCTGGAGGAACTGGAAAAATCCAAGAGTTGAGACCAGAAGACAATTTAACCACCACCATCAAAGTCATCCCTCCTTGCCAATCCCTAGCCCATGTTCCAAACCAGGTTGTACATTTTGACTTTCTGCTCAGAGTGAGTTCCTTGTCTCTCGAGGACACCACCTAGTGAGCAAATTGCTTACAAGTTTTAGCATGAAGCCAAAGCAGCAGCCTAATTTGGCTGGAGTCATGGTCTTGATGAGCCCCAGGAAGCTCATCAGACTCCCATAACCCATGGCGTTAGTGCCTTATGGTTCACCCCACTGCCACCCTCGCTGTGCCTCTTGCTGGAGGTTCAAGGCCCAAGTCCTCTCTCTTGCTCCAGGGATGTACAATGCTGGGTGTGATTACTCAGGTAATTACAGCACAGCACTTACCATGTGTATACCATAATTATCTGAGAGAGAAGGAAACTAATATTTACTGAGAGCCTAGTATAACCCAAGTTGTTATTAGATGCTTTACGTACGTGATATTATTTCATCTTCATGCCCATCCTTTGAGAGGGGTATAATCATCTCTAGCTCACACATAAGGAAATAATTCAGAGACGTGATGTGCCTTGTCACAGGGTCACACAGCTAATGCAGGGCAGAGCAGGGAGTCACACCTAGTCGTCTGACTCTGACGTCTGTGCTCTCGCCTCTCCAGCATGCTACCTCCCTCCCGCTGACCGTGAGCTCCTCCTTGGCAGTAACTACCAGTAATTTGTCATTGTATACCCACTGCGTCTGTCACATGCTACGTAGGGGCCCAAACGGCATTTCTCCGTGAAAGAAGAAAGGAAGGGAGGAAAAGTAAAGGCCCTGGACTTTGCCTTGCATTTACAATGTTTCCCCAAAAAATAAGACCTACCCATAAAATAAGCCCTAGCAGGATTTCTAAGCATTTGCGCAATATAAGCCCTACCCAGAAAATGAGACTTAGTGATGGGAGTGGCTACGCAGCGTATCTGCACAACCCATGCATTTCCTAGCGGAGCGGGAAAGAAGACCAGCAGCCCTTCTCATCTGTCCCATGAGAGCTCTATTGCTTGACATGAGAGATTGGGGCCAATGGTTCTAAAGGAAATAGAGTTGCAAGAAATTTAGGATGGAATTTGGGGTTTGGAGAATTATGATGATGTTCCAGAAGAAGACGACTTAACTATATATGAATAAATGTAGATTGTTGTACTGTACTTAAAAAAATAACATATCCCCTGAAAATAAGCCCTAGGGTGTCTTCTTGAGGAAAAATAAATATAAGACCCTGTCTTATTTTCAGGGAAACACGGTAGTAAGTGCTTAATAAGTTTATGAATGAACACCAAGGTTTTCGATAAGCTCTGGAAGCTTCCCCTGGGGCCATGAAGCAATCTGATTGGCAGGACTCAATTTATCAGCCTCCCCCAGGCAAGCTTGTGAAACAGCAAGAATAATGGCACTGGAACTAATGTAATTTCAGATGAATCCATTAGAGTCCTTGCCACTGCTGGAAACTGGGACGTAGAATTAAAGTGCCCTTTATAATTTATACTCAAACGCAAATGGGATGTGCAAAGTGAACCCTTGTTTCCTATTCTGATGCCTTTTCCTCTGGCCCTGGAATTGGTTGTCAGATGAACAGAGCCTCTGTAAAGGGAGAAAACTGGGGTGATTTAGGCAGGACCCGTATCCCAGCCCAAGAGCTAGATGAGCTGGCCTCCGGAGCCCTCCTCTAGCCTTTTGGTTTTATGATTCTGTTATTTGGATAACAGGAGGCAGGAGATGGGCAGCCAGACTCGGAGAACAGCTGTCTGATGAGATGCCATCATGTGCACCAGAGCACATTTCACTGTGTGTCGCGCCCGCCTCGCCAGCAAGGAAGACGCGGCAACCGGAGTTCTTCTGACAGTGCTTTAATGGGGTTCCCTTTAGACTTACATGATGCGGAAGACCCAGCCCGGCAGCGCGCAGGCTGCTATAAACCCCAGAAGCACAACCCCTAAGCTGGGATAGGCCGCTCAGCTGTCGAGCCACCAAAGCATTAGTCCATATCAGGACCCTTTGTTTGCATGCTTGTGCCACAGGGCAACCGACAATTGTGCGTGCGCTGAACTTGTTAGCTGCTCTAGGCAAAGCCGAAAACAGGCGCCAACTTGTAATGGCGTTGACACCGCGCCCCACAACTGTGGCCCTGCATCCTGTCACTGAGACACTGGGATAAATCATTGCACATCAGGGTGCTGATGTTCCCACAGCCGCTGTGCATAAGAGGAGTCAGCTGGAAGAGTATGACATCCACGTCCATGGACCTCTGCATATGTTACCATTCGCAAAGAGATAAAAAGAATATTTCAGAGCAGAAGTGAAGAGACAGAGAAAGTAGATTTTAAATTTATGCCATTATCTCATCTCTGGGAAGAAATTAGAGGAATTGAAAAGTTAAAGACTTCCAAGGCAATTCTCCCTCTCGCAAGACCTCACAGGCTTTAGGAACATATGATTTTAGAGCCAGAAGGGAACTGTCATGCATCTTCCTTATTTTGTGGATGGGGGAGCTGGAACCCACCAGCAGATGAGCTGGTGGAAGCTTGCACTGGTGAGAGGCAGAGCCCTGGCCAAACTCAGGAGTGGAGAGCCAGCCACTCCTGGAGTACTTAGTCCCACCCTATTCTCTTCTTATCTCTGCCAGCATCTCAGGACTTAGCGTCCTTCTCCGTAAAATAAGGATAACAGTACCTACTCTTTACCAACTTGTTTTAAGAATCAAATGAGGCTACGTGTGATGGCTCTTGCCTATAATCCCAGTACTTTAGGAGGCCAAGGCAGAAGGATCACTTGAGCCCAGGAGTTTGAGGTTGCAGTGAGCTATGATCACACCACTGCCCTCATGCCCAGGTAACAAAGTGACACCTTGTCTCAAAAAAAATAAATAAAAGAATCAAATGAAACCATAAATGTGGACTGAAAAACCATGTAAGATGTTATAAACCTCTATGCAAATATAGGCATTATTAATACTACTGACATTAAAACAAATTTGCCCCTATTTTATCATCAATATAAATAATGACAGATTTCCATTCTTCACAGAAGACTTTTCAGTAGACATTCCTTTTTCAACCCTCTGATAACAATTTCTCTAAGTTTTCTTTATAAGCTCTTTTTTCCTCATTATAATAAAATGTGCTCATTATAATTTTAGAATACCAAAAACATAAAGAAAAAATGTCATCCATAGTTCCCAAACCAAAAGATAATCACCATTAAATTTTTGATATACTTCCTTCCAGTTTTTCCCCATGTGTATTTTAGCAATTGTGATCCTATTGAATTGTATATTCTATTTCCTAGTTTTTCCCATTTAACATTATAATGTATGTGTTTTCCCATATTACTGAAAACTACTTTTTTGAGACAGAGTCTCACTCTGTTGCCCAGGCTAGAATGCCGTGGCATCAGCCTAGCTCACAGCAACCTCAAACTTCTGGGCTTAAGCAATCTTTCTGCCTCAGCTTCCCAAGTAGCTGGGACTACAGGCATGCACCACTATGCTCGGCTAATTTTTTGTATGTATTTTTAGTTGGCCAATTAATGTCTTTCTATTTTTAGTAGAAATGAGGGTCTCGCTCTTGCTCAGGTTGGTTTTGAACTCCTGACCTTGAGCGATCCTCCCGCCTTGGCCTCCCAGAGAGCTAGGATTACAGGCATGAGCCCCCGTGCCCAGCCTGAAAACTACTTTTTTTAATTTCAAAATATTAAGGGGGTACAAATGTGTTTGTTACACGGATACACTATATAAAGCGGAAGTCAGGGCTTTCATTGTGCCTGTCACCAGGATAGTGTTCATCGTACCCGATAGGTAAGTTTGTACCCCTCATGCCCCTCTCACCTTCCCCCTTCTCTGTTTCCAATGTCCGTTACTTCTCTTTGTGCCTGTGTGTACCTCTCATTTAGCTCCCACTTATTAGTGAGAACACGTGGTGTTTGTTTTTCTATCCCTGAGATACTTCACTTAGGATAATGATCTCCAGCTCCATCCAAGTTACTGTGAAAGACATTATTTCATTCCTTTTAATGGCTGAGTAGTACTCCGTGGTGTATACATACCACATTTTCTTTATCCACTCATGAATTGATGGGCCCTTAGGTTGATTAAAAACTACCTTTAAAATGCCCTAATTATTGTATAACATTTAATCCTATAGGTACACCATAGACTACTTAATCATTCCTGCATATTAATGGAACAACTAACTGCAAATAAAGCTTTACTGTATCTCAATTTATGAACAACATTTTGGGATAGTTTACTAGAAATAGAATCTTGAAAATTTGTATTTTCTTTTTTTTTTATTTCGGCATATTATGGGGGTACAGATTTTAAGGTTTCAATAAATGCCCATTCCCCCCGCTCCCCCCACAAGTCTGAGTCTCCAGCATGACCATCCCCCAGATGGTGCACATCTCACTCATTAGAAAATTTGTATTTTCTTAAGAAAATACAAATTAAGATTTACATCAAGATGATTTACAATGCATCTGTTGAATTGCTTTCAAGATTTTATCAATTTACAACGAGCCCACTGAAGGTATATTAGTTTCCCTGAGATGCTGTAACATATATTACCATAAACTAGATGGTTTAACACAACAGAAACTTACTTTCTCACAGTTCTGGAGGCTAGACGTCTGAAATTAAGGTGCCATCAGGGCTGTGCTCCCTCTGAAGTCACCAGGGAAGAATCTTCCTTGCCTTTTCTAGCTTCTGGTGGTTGCCAGCCATCTTTGGCATTCCTTGGCTTTCGGCAGCATAACTCCAACCTGGGTGTGCATCTTCCATAGCCTTCTTCCCTCTGATTTGCGTGTATCCAAATCTCTCTCTCCTTGTAAGAACACCAGTCTTGGATTTAGGGCCTGCTCTAACTCAATGTGATCTCATATTGATTACATTTGCAAAGACCCTATTTCTAAATAAGGTCCCATTCACAGATACAAGGAGTTAGAACTTCAATGTAACTCTTGGGGGTGGGGGTCACAGTAAGTGGTATATGCAAGTTCCCATCTCATCATGTGGCTCCCAGCAATGTCACTTCATATTTTAATTGCATCACTTATATATTCAAAACAGACAATAGATTTCCATAAAGATCTTCATCAAAGTTGAGCATAATGGAGTTAATCACTTCTAATTACATTTTAGGTTTTTTGTTTTTGTTTTTAGTCAGAGTCCATTGTACATAACTAGGCTTGATGTTATGTTGATTTGGGGAGCAGCATTGATCTGCTTTGGATGTGTACTGTTTGCCATCCCTGCTGTGGGCACTAACCTCCCCAGAACCTAGGGAGGAACTTCTATCAGGAACTATCCTGAAAGGGGGAAGCTCAGGAGCTTGGGAGTGAGATAAAGCTGGGTTCAAATTCCAGCTCTCCCGCTTAGCACTGTGTCACCTTGAACCATGTATTTTGTGTCTCTAGCCTTAGTTTTCTCCTCTTTTAAATGAGAATTTAAAACATGTATGAGTTAAGCACTTAGCCCAGCACATAATAAATAGTGAATGCATGTTAGCTGTGATTATTCATGTTCATTAATGCTGTCATTATTAGAGTCATTATCACCCTGATGCCAGTCCTTGCTAGTTTTTTGTGTAATAAGGCTCTGTCCCCTTGCCCAGGCCCTATTCCTGGGGCTCAAGTATTTTCTGTCTGGGCTCTGACTCTGTGACCCAGTCATTTATTGTCTGTGTTTCTAACTGGCACCTTGCATGTCTGGAGTCTTACCCAGATGTCTCCAGGTCCCTTACAGGGACTTGCAATCTGCTGCCAGATTTTCCTTTCATGTCAGTGGATATTTTCCACTATAGAACTAAACCCAGGTTCAGAAGTAAACCCTCTTGTGCCCATCATATTTCAGAACTCTAAACCTGGCCTGCATATCTAGAATTTGCTTTGCATACGAGTCCTCCTGCCTATTCTGCCAAGTATATTCCAAGTATATTCCTTTAACCAGCCCTTCCCTTGCGATCATTATAGTCCATTGAGATTTTCTGCTACTTGGTTACTGCTGTCTGGACAATACCAGGCTCAACGCCTTTCTCTTAGCCTATCCAATCTCTTCTGTACTCAAGTTCTAGATTCAACAATTAAATTAAATTCCCTAAAATTATGGGCATTCTCAGCTTTGAAAGGATTCTTCAGTATCATATAAAATAATTCCTATAATAAAAAACCAAAATGACATTTTCCCCCAGATTCAACAGTTTTTTGTTCCTCGTGTATTTTATACCCAACAGGATCAATCATAGAGAATGAAACGAAAAGAAAAAGAACCATCAATGCTAAAGTGGTCTGGGGCCATACAATGACACACACATTCTCTCCCAATTCTAATCAGGGGAAAAATCACTTATTTCACTTAATAAGGTAAGGGAATTGTAACACTTATCTATACATATTTTATCCTGTGTATTTATGCTACTTTGGGGTGCCTGCTTAGGGTAACTAAAGTTAAATTCATTAAAGATGACTTTTATCTCTTCTTAATGTCAGAGCCATCTGCTTGACCTCCCTTCATGGATATTCATGGTGTCATTAACAGCAAGGCCCGTCCCCTCAAGATAGGGGGAATAGAATGATGAGGCCGCCACAACCTGAAAGTGTATGATAAAATATCACACTTTAAATAATGATGTTCCACACAAGCAACACTTAGTTTTACAGTTCAGAAACGGCTTCATTGCCCTACAACACTATACTTATGCTGTCCTAAATGTTGCCAAACATCTGCAAGCACGCAGACACCAGCACCTCCCCTGTTGTTCTTTCCAGGCCCTCGTGAGAATCAAATCTTTTAATTTAAGAAAACAGCCATAGAGATTCAAGAAAAGTTAAAAATGCCAAGACTTTGGTTTTCATCAAGGCAAGTCTCCAGAGGCCAGGAAAACGGACTGGATCTGATCCAGTTCTCCAGTTGTGTAGCTCATTTCCATGCTTTGTAACTCATAGTTATTAATATTAACGTGGCATTACATGCCTGTATGTAGGTCTACACATGCCCATACACACACACACATGCCTATTGAAAACTCTGAGTGTGGCATTCCCATACTCAAGTTTGCAAACTGGCAATGGCTTTGCTTAATGACTTGATCTCATCACACTTTATCAGATAGACTGGTGTAATACAGTGGTAGAAATAAAAAGGCTTTCCCTTTGGGCCCCTGAGGTCACACAATCTTATAATTATGAGAAAGACTCGGGATCTTATGGAGGTAGCAACCACCACTAAGGATTAGAATCCAGGGAGGTGCTGAGCTCAAGCTCAGGTCAAGAAAGTATCAACAACTCCAGGGTAGAATTCTAGAAAACTGGGAGCTCCGTTGTTGTTGTTGCCTAATTCTTAAGAATGGAATCTTGTGGGAAATCAGATGTCATGAAAGACTCATGTGGCTAAATAAATAATAAGCAAATGAAAGAAAGCCAGGCAGATGGGAACCAAATTAGAATCTCCTTAAATCTGACTGATGTTAACAGCTAAAGTTTGGTGATTCAAGGAATATTTACTTTCGTTGCCCTAAAGAAAATGAGTTTGTGCTAAAGTGTAAGCAGTCAAGAAAAATCTTATTCACAGCACCCATGGAAAAGCTTACCATGTGGATTATTTGCTGCCATCATGGAAGAGCTGGGAAAGATTGGCAAAGAAGTAAACGAAGATGCACTCTTCACTGTTAGAAGTGCAAGGACCTCAGGGCCGAGTTACACAGCAAAGTCTGACTGTGATTTGGTTTTAGAGACAGTTTGACACTGGAAATTAGGTCTCTAACTCAGGGTTGCAGCCTCACATCAAAGGCCATTGCATTCCCTCTGCCACATGCTGGTGGCCTCAGAAGTCTCCCCCCTTCACACCCCTCTCTTGGGGCCGTCTGTCTGGACCTAATCCAAGGAGCTCTCACTGGCCTCTTGGCTCTGTCAAATGCTGGAATGTTACTCTTCTAAACAGTGGGGGCACCTTGTTGTCATTCATTGTAAAGTGGGAAAAATTATTTTCTCATGCTCCTAGGCCTCTCAGCAAGGGTGACAAAATAAAACACGAGTTTCACTCTGCTTCTGAATAAACAAAAGCCTAAAAGCTTATGTTTTGTAATTAATTTTTTTCTGCATCATATTCTTCACATCAGGAATTTGACACTATTTTAATCTCCCCTTTCCTTGAAACCAATGTCCATTCCTTCAGTCTTAAGAATACTCCTATGTCAGGGAAACGTTATCAGACTTTATCTTCACCTTCATATTGTCCAACAACTATTGTGCATTGACTTAGCTACACTATGCATAAGAAATACGTGGCCAGTCCTAACGGTCAGCCTCTATTCATTCATTTTCCAACATTTCTTCAACTCTCTCTCACAGTTCTCAAAGATACAAATACACAACTGACACCTCAACAAGTTCATATTCAAACACAAAGGGTGAGGGCAGGAAAGTTGAAGGTAAGTCAGGAAGATTGGTTACCAGATATTTGATATTATTTTAGGAGTGTCAGAAGTCCTTCGAGAGCCTTAATTAAAGGCCTGAAACTCCTAGACATCCTTAAAAATACTTCATATTATAAAAACAGAGAAAAATCTCTACAGCATTCAAAAGGACAAAAAAGGGAAGCTTGCCCAAAGAGGAACAAAAATCAGACTCCATAGTGGTAGTTAGAAGACAACGGTGTGTGGTTCTCAGAGTTTTAAGAGGAAAAGGCTATATCCCAAGAATTCTATACTCAAATTGTATGTAAGTTAGGGCTGCCAGATTGAGAAAATAAAAACACAGACACAAAACCCAGTTAAATTTGAATTTCCCATAAACAATAAATATGTTTTTAATGTAATTATGTCCCAAATATTGCATGAGACATACTTATACTAAAACATTATCATTGTTTATGGGAAATCCAAATGTAACTGAATTTCCCATAAACAATAAATATGTTTTTAATGTAAGTATGTCCCAAATATTGCATGGGACATACTTATACTAAAACGTTTTCATTGTTTATGGGAAATACAAATGCAACTGGGTGTCCTACATTTTATCTGGCAACTCTGATATAAAGGCAACAGAAAAATATTCAGATGTTGTTCACACATTAAAGAGAGAATTTACCACCCCTATATTTTTTCTAAAATAATTAGTTGGAGATATTCACAAAGTGAAGAATTTGAAAATTTGAATAAGAAACTCATGACTTAAGGAGACTAGGGACTAGCAGTGAGCAATCAAACTAAGTTTTAAAATTTGATGTAAATATGGCTAAAATTCTAGGAGAAGCTATGTATTATTAAAAACTAATTACTTCAAATTAATACAAATGCTAATAATTTGGAGTCTATAATCTTAAATAATGTCACCAAGAAGTGGATATGACCAATGGCTGGGGACAAATTGTAAGCATATTCAGAGCACATTTCACCCAGCATAGCAAGCTTAGAAAGAAGAATGATAACATGCCTCCTTATTTTATAGAGTGCTATTGCGTGTATTATGTCATTTGGACATTATCTCATTTGGTTCTCACATAATCCCGGAAGAAGTGAGAGAGTCAATAAGGTAGACAAGCACACACCTTCTCACCTATACAGTTGGGGAAATGAGGCTGAGAGTGCTTCAATGGCTCACCCTCTGTTTAGAGGGCTGATATGGGGTGGGGAGAAGCTCTCACCAGTGGCTATTTGCCAATTGAGATAGCTTTACCAGTACAACCTAGCTGAATATAAACCCTGATTGTGGGAGAAAAAAGGAGAGAAAGAGACAGCTGTGAGAGTCTTTTGACAAGCAAAATTGATGGGCTTGATTATGAAGAATGAAGTGCAAGAGACAGTGGGTAGAGACAGCATTATCAATAAGACATAAGGGCTTGTTTTCCAGGTAATCCAAGGTTGAGGCTCTCAGGGTGTTTCCCGAGCATTCTTTGTCCCAGTCCCTGATACTGATGCTAGACCAGTGCAGGGCCCTGTCTAGGAGATGTTAATGAATTCACTTCTCAGACTTTAGATCCGATGAGGATCCTGGTGTGAAGCTGCCAGCAACTGCAATGTGTCAGAACAGACTGTTTACCAAGCTCCTGCAAACATTGCAAAGCCCAGGGGACTGTTCTAAATTAGGAGAAAACAAGTTCTTTCAAGACAGTTAGTGCCCTAGCCAGAAATTACTAATAAAAGGTTGCTTTTCAGTATCTCTGAGCTGATTAGGAGTTTCAGTGGGTCCTAATTAGCATGTGAGGCTTATTCATCTGTAAACTTGAAAAAGGAATGCTCCCTAGGGAATGGAATAAGAAAGAACTGTTGTTCCCACTGCTAGGACTTAACTAGAAATGAAGACAATTTGCCTCTGTGTTTTCCCCATTAGGCAGGTAGACTGGAAAGGAGATTATTTCTTGATGATCCCTTTCAAACATTTATTAGACATCAGTACAGGCTTCAGTGATCTAGCAAATCAGTCCTTAGTATTTTTGGTGAAAAAATTATATGAAGCCTCATTAAAAGTGCATAATTTGACTCAAAGGGCAGAAAACTGAGAACTAAGGTCAGCAGAGCAACTCACACTCTATTCTTCGCATAGATGAGTAATCACAATGGGTGCTTTATGCTTGATCAGAAAAATCTCTAGTGAGCATTACAGAAAAAGTAGAATTGCATAAGTGTAATTTGCACTTATTGCAAAAGTGGAGTTTGTTTGCTATAAACATGCGATAGTAATAATAGGTTGTAAGGCAGTGGCGCATTCCTCCCCACCCCCTGCCCCCACATGAACAAAGTGAATTTATTTATTTTTGCTGTCATGCAACTATAGAAAGAAAGCTCAAAATTTAATAGACTCACCACCAAAGAACAATGAAGTCCTGTTCTGCACAGATACCCACTAGGTGTCACACAGCTTCAGAAAAACAATCCTTGCCTTCCAGGAGTTAATATTTTAATGAATCCTTAACTTTCCAATGCTAGGCAAAAATTATTTCCATTTCATTACATTCATTTGTTACAGATGCTTACATTTGATTTCTCAAGAGAATAGAAATAAAAGACTGCAGAAAATGCCTTGACCTATATTTTCCAAATCCCTATCTCTAGCAAATCCCATACTTCCCCCTTCCCAGCAAAAAAAAACTTCACTGGTTCTGGCTTTTTTTTTTTCTCCTTAAGAACTGTGTAATAAATCACAGGAAATCAGAACTGTTTAATACTCAGCTAAACACTTATGAAATGCCCTGAGGTTAGACCATCTGTATGATCAAGGCAGCAACTCCATCTCCCCGCATCCAGATATCCCAGAACTACTTCAGCTCCAAGTACCACCGTCTACGGGCAATGCTTTTCCCGACCGAACAGAAATCAGGCATTGGGTAAAAGAGGCGCCAGCAAGAATCCTGGCCCTAGATTAGTTGCTTTTCACAGTACAAAAGAGGAAGGTAGGCTGAGCCTGAGCCTTGACCAGAGCAAGAAATGAGAACAAGGCGACGTGGCAGCCAAGGCAAGGCACCCTCAGATCTCCTCCCGCCAGCAGCGCAGCTGACCCAGGGCCCAGCCGCTGTGCTCGGAAACCCGCCCCACGGCTTCCTGCATGTTCCTCACACCGTGGGGATAACAAGGCAGGCCTGTCCGTGGGAAACGCGGGACTCCCCTGACGGGCAGCTTTGCCCAACTTTCCCCAGAATTGCATTGCAGTCTGAGTCCCTCCCTCCCTCCCTCCCTCCCTTCCTTCCTTCCTTCCTTCCTTCCTTCCTCCCTCCCTCCCTCCCTTCCTTCCTTCCTTTCCCTGGCTTCAGACTTGCATCATGGTAGGACGGCTCTCCAAGCCTCTCCCTGCTTCCTTCTCTTTTTCTTTCACAGTTTCCCCGAATAAATTTCTGGCACATTCCACAGATCTCAGTGTCTGCTTCTCAGGAGTATCTGGACTAACATATGCAGGGGGCTGCCAGGAGGAGCAGAATACAGCTGGGGAAGGTGGAAAGGGCCTGATCAAAGAGCAAACTCAAGTTTCTAAAAGTGGGCCACAGCCCGAGGCCTGTACATGAGAACGGCCACTGCGGTGGCTTTGTGAGGCGCTAACTTGGCTAGACGGGACTACGTTTCCCAGAACTCCTTTTCTTCCCACGTTTCCGGTTAGTATGAGCTGAAGGAATATTCTCTCGCGAGAGTTGGAAGGAGACATGGTGGCAGCAGCCATTTTGTAGCATGTAGAATGAAATTTGTTGGTCTGTTGATTCATGGTGTCGGGGTGAAAACAGTAGCTAGGCCTGGCACTCCCTTTCCGTGGACCTTCCTGCAGTTTCTCTGACCCCTGGGCCAGATGTTTACTTTTTTAGCAACTGACACAGGGCCTCGGCTTCTGCTGGATGACCTCGTCATCAAGGTCAGAGGACGTGGGTTTCAATATGGCCTCGTGGGGTTCCAGCTCTTGCCTGCGGGGTTCTAACCTAGTTTCATGAGCTCCCCTCCCTGACTGCTTGCTCATGGACATCTGGCTCCAATATTAGTCAAGGAAACAGCCTTGGGGAGACTGCTTAGCCAGCTCCTATTTGTGTTCCCAGTGAATATGTATCTTGTGTGGTTGAACCTTGAGTTATACGCTCCTATGTTCCATCTCCCCAGTTTACTTCAGGGCAGTGGTCCACGTTAGGAGCAGGAATAGGCACTCAACCGACACAGAGAACACACAATACCAACTCTCTGCTCTGCTGCTTTAGGTCAGACCTGGACACCTACAAGAAAAAGTGGGGTGACACGGCATTTTGAGGACAAGTGCACATTCACAGCCCACCTTGCAGTGGAGGAAGATGATATTAGTATAGTCTGAGCTCAGATAACAACTGCAGCAAAAAGACCTTCACCAACCATATATCTCCTCTCCTAGCCCATAAAAGCATGGAGGGAGAGGAACATGATTTTATCAAACTCCACAACGAGGATGTCAAGTAGGTAACATAGCTTTCAGTGTACCCATGGTAGACATTGTCAGTAAATCACAGTACTTTTTCTGCTGAATCCAGACATGGCTCCACTTAAATTTGCTCCATAAACCCAAGGGGTAGAAACAGTATAATTTTGTTTGTTTTGTGTTTTAAACTAAAAATTATTTGGCTTTGTGCCCCCACCTCCTTGCCTGGGAGGACATCCCAAACCATTCATTATTAGGACACTACTACCACCCTCACCACCACATCCCCGTTGTATGGAACAGGAATCTTGAGAGTTCACCAGGAGATGGTGCAGGGCCTGGCTTTTAGTCCAACTTTGTTGCTGTCACCTCCCTTTCTCTTTTTATTTCCCAGTGCTGGTGTTGAGTCTGGCTTCCGTTGTCTATTGGGCATAGCTGCTGTAAGGTTTTTCGGGGGCAGTGAAAAGAAAAGACAGACACAGAGAGAGAAAGAGTGGGGGCCAAACCACATGGCTTTATTATACACTCGTGGATGAGGTTCTGGGGCCCCAAGAGAGGGGGGCCCCCGGAAGTCGCCGCTATTTGAATGGGCTGAGGCCTTTTATATCCTTTGGGCCTGGCTAGGGACTTTTGGCGGAAGAGCTGGGGATTTTAGGAGGGGCTGGAGGAATTTGTGGAATCCAGGAGCGAATCCAGGTGGACATCTGGGTGTGGTTCCTCTCAGTGGGGCCTGGCAGTTTGTCCTTGTCAGGTCACTAAGCGTTTTCTTTTGCCATCTAGGGAGGGGAGGAGCCCCTGCCACCAGCCTTACAGCTGCCACAGAGAAACCCATCAGCATTCCAGTCTGCCTCAGCCTGGGCCACAAGGCTCCAAAACCACGATGGTTAATGATGTCCCAGACAACCAGATACTACATCATCATAGGTCCTGGCACCTTGAGGGGCGCATGGGGGCAAATACCTATACCATCCCCACTCACAGAATGTTTCATGCCCAAGTCTCGGAGAATTCAGTTATCTCTGGTTTTAGCTACTTCCAGATGAACCCAAACTCATTTTTTACCCTCGTTAGGTTTCAGTTATCCAAAATAACAGCCTGTTCATTCCCTTCAGTGTTGAGAGAAACCCCTAGGGAATGATACCTTCTGCTTCCGTCATGGTAAGTGTGAAAATTTTTATTTCTTTTTAATTTTTAATCTGTAGATTTAGAAGTCAGGATAACTTTGGGAGGAAGGATGGAGGTAGAGATTGGAGGGATCACAAGGTGGGTTTCTGTGGGGCTGGAAATGGCAATGTTTTATTTCTTGATCTAGGTGATAATTTTACAAATGAGTTCACTTTTTGATAACTCATTGCTATGATTTATGTGATTATCTCTGTGTTATACTTCAGTCATTGAAAGTTTAAGCAAATCCAAATGCTAACAAAAAGGTTTAGAGTAAAAAAATTTTAAATCTCTTTCCCACCCTTATCTCCCACCCCTCATTTTCCCTCCCCCAGTGAATACCCCCATCTAGGAGCTCTGATACCTAGTAAACTTTGGTGGCCCTGAGTGCTGTTCCGCTTCTCCTCCCACCCGAGGCACACGGTCCCATTGCATTTCCTGGCCCTCCTGTGGTTGAACAGGGTTGTGTGACTAGTTCTGGCTAGTGAGCTGTGTAAGAGGAAATTATGTGTATCACTTCTGGGCCAGAGCATTCAATTGCCTGTATGAGATCCTCAGGATATCTCATATCCTCTGCCACATGACACGTAGTTTTTCAGTTAGTGTTCTCCATCCGTCTTGGTTCCAGAGGGAGGATGACACAGAGGTAACTTACAGTGGGAATGAGCAAGAGGCCTGGGCAAAAAATAAATATTTGATGTTTTAAGTCACTGAGATTTTGGGATTGTTTGTCACTGCACTGATTCATAATGAGACCTCCTGTTGTGTGTATGTATGTGTGGTGTGCATGTGTATCTCTCTGAAGAGTACACAAGACAAGAAAAAGAAATATAGGGGGAAATGTGAGAATAGTTAATATATCTGTATCAGAAGTTTTCTGGATTTAAATATAGAAACCCAAATTGAAAATTGTTTACACAATAAGACTATTTATTGCATTATATAAATAAGGTCTAGTGATTCCAAGATTGGTTGGTTCAGCTACTCAATCATGTCATCAAAGACCCAGATTCTGCCCCTGCTGCGATCCTCAGTGTGTTGGCTGGCTAACTCCCCTCTGGATGCAGGATGGCTACAGCAGGTTTAGTTAGCACTGTTGTCTCTGTCTGTTGTCTCTCACACACACATATGCTAATATCCAGAGACAAGAGACTATTTAGCAAAATGTTGAAAATGGCAAAGGAATACAAATCAAGCATATTCAGGATATTATGATCTTCTTAGCCATTGTATGATGGTGACTTGAAGTCTGTTTTAATAGATTAGTGTATCTGTTATTAGGACTTTTAATGAAGTACAAAATGTTTTTTGTTTTTGTTGTTGTTGTGGGCGGACACAAAATGAAGTAGGACCAGTCACTGCCCAAACTAAAGGAAAGTGATAGGATGACATTTATTATTTCCCAGTACCTTAATTTTGCCTGATGCTGAGCTTCATAGTCTTCAGCAAGTTACTTAACATCTCTCAGTCTTACTTTTCCTCTCCTCCTTATAAGGGAATTAACAACTGTAACTTTATCACAGTTCTGCTGTGAGACTTAAGTTAACACATATAAAGTACTTGAACCATTTCTGGCATATAGTAAATCCCACAGAACCGCTATCTGTTATCATTTTAATAAGGTTTATAGGAGAATCAAATGAAAAGTACATGTAGAAGACTTGGAACAATGCCTATAGTATATTAATAGTAAGTTTTTAATAAATCTTTGCTACTACAATTATTATAGTTTTAAATAAGATTGAGGAGTTAAAGAGGTTAAAAAATAAAATTAATCCTTTAAAAATGCATTTAACTGTATAAGACACTACTGTCATCTTATTGTTATGATCAATAATAAATTTTCACTGAATGTTTCTGTGCTACATAGTAACTGATCAATAAGAAGTCATCAGCCCAAATATGCTCTAAAAACTTTCTAGGATATCCAAATTGTACAAACCATCTTTTAAAAAGCCTTCTGTAAAAGACAAAACTGCCCAGGAAATGTTTAATACTTATGTTTGATACTTATTGTCATCAGCATATTGATCAAATTTATAATGCAGGATATTTATATTATTTATGTGTTGTTTACAGAGTTTGTGATTCATTAAGACACTTTATATAATCTTACACTTTTTTATGGGTCTTAGAGCAGTACCATTTGGTTTGAATATCTAGTTTGTAGTTTGGAAACTGTATCAAACCCTAATATCTGTTGTTAATGGGTTAGGGAGGTTTGAATATGATTCTCAGTTGGCATATAATAATTTGCATTATTTGCAAGCGTAAAATTAATGGTGGAGTTGGATCTGGCTAGGAAAATAAAATCAGAATTCACAGTGTTCTTGTGGTTACAGCCATGAAAAACCATGATGTCATAGCAAACATATCACAGAGTGTAACATACAGTTTAAGGTTTAATATTTCAACCAAAGAGGCACAAAAAAATCTCCTACCAGTAGGTTCTTTTTACTTCATATAGTAAGTGACCTTCTGAAGTTACAAATTCTTGGATAAAGTTAGGAGCAGAGAATGTGCTTAACTATACCAATGTGCCATTGGTGTAGTTAAGGGTGGGGTGGCTGTTGTTTTTTCCCTAAAGGTTTTGCTGTTTGGCTTAAGGCCTCATCTACTTTTTCTTGTACTAGGTGCAAACATTTAGAGTAGTAACTAGTATTAGTACTATTACTACTAAAACCACTCCTATTGTACAGATCAGAGCATCTTAGACTTTAATCTGCATAGGAATCACCTGAGGATTTTATTAAGATGCAGATTCTAATTCTCTGGAACTGGGGTGGGGCTTGAGATTCTGCATTTCCAACAAGTTGCACAGGGCGGTGATGCTGCTGGTCTGTGCACCACACTTTGAGCAGCAGGCTATGATCGATGACACTGGGTTTAGAAATTATCCAGATTTCTAGGAAGTAACAGAGTATGTATTCAAATCTAAGTTAGCTTGACTTCAAGGTCACTGACTAACTACCTAGCAAAACAATCATTTACCTTTTGACTCAGCAATCCTACTTGTAAGAATCTATCCTGAAGATTTACTTCCAAAAATATGAAACTACGTAAGTACAATGTAATGCATTACAGCATTATTTGTGATTGCAAAATATTGGAAACCATCTGAATGCTCATACACAGGTTGAATGTATGGCACATTCACATATATTCACACAATGAAGTACTATGCAGCTCTCACAAAGAACAAGGAAGATTTCTATGATCTGATTTAGAGTGTCTGGGTTACAGTGATTTTCAGGACATACTGATAAGTTAATAAAGCAAAATGAAAAAGAATACCTATAGTATGCTACTCTTCAAGTAAAAAAGAAAGGGATTATAAGAAAACACATATGTATCTCCTCATTCAGTGCAAAAGAAATACAGGGAGGGTAAACCAGAACTAAAATGGTTGGTTACCTTCTGGGAATGGAGTAATAATGATGAGGAGAGAGCAACATTTCTGAGTGTACCTTTTTATTTTTTATTTTTTTAGGAATGGGGTCTCACTATGTTGCTGGAATGCAGTAGCTATTCGTAGGCACTATCCGGCTACTGATCAGCACAGTAGTTTTGACCTCCTCCATTTTTGACCTGGGCTGGTTCACCCTTTCTTAGGCAACCTGGTGGTCCTCTGCTCCCAGGAGGTTACCATATAGATGCCAAACTTAGTGCTGGCATGCCAGTGGTATAGCGCACTACAGCCAAGAATTCCTGGACTCGAGTGATCCTCCTCCCTCAGCCTCCCGAGCAGCTGGGACTACAGGCATGCACCACCACACCTGGCCTGAGTGTACCTTTTGGTGTAGTTCCAACTCTTAGAAGTATAGTGATATTTTTCTTACCCTCCAAAATAAATATTAATAAAGTCAACTAGGGCAAGGAGGCCGGGAGTGTGGATAGGGCCCAAAATGCAATACAAGCAATAACAAATGAACCTAGTTGTATTACAAATGAGTAATATAACCATACTGAAAGGAACAAGGGAAGAAAACAACTTCAGAAACTTTAGAAAATAATATCTTGACTGGGTGTGTAAGTACGTAAGACTCAAGACAAAAAGAACTATAGACAATTACTGTACTCTAGTTGGTAAATCTTTCCCATAGGGTATGGGTTAGCAATTCCGTAACTCCTCTCTGTAGTTTGGACAAATACATACAATGATCAACTCATCTTGGGACTGACTGTTTTGAAAACAGAAAGTCCCATGTCCCAGTAGCCTTCTCAGTCCTAGACAAACAGGTAAGTTGATTACCCTATAAACATGTGAATACGTTTTACATCAGGAGAGTGACACTTCTCATGCTTGCTGATAAAGTTACACATAAGGAAGGGGAGAAAGATATGATAGAATGGACCTTGTTGTATTGGATTAGAAATGGAGGTGTCCATATAAACTCATAGTTTTTAATATATATATACAGATAAGTAGATATAAAAATAAACACAGTTGAGTGTATAAACATGAGTTAGTATACATACTTATATTTCCTAACTGTATGCTGAGAAGGTCTAAGGGCAATGACACCCAGTAGCACCCAGATCTTGGTTTCTAAATAGCATTCTCTAATAAAAGGAATTAGAGTCTTTGGAAAAGCTGATTCCAGGCAGGGGCAGGGAAAATACAAGATAAGCTTGAGACATTTTTGGTGCCAGAAGTTAAGAAAGTGCTTGAAAAAGGATCAAATACATAAAAAGGACACAGGAATAAACCTGAAGTAACTCTCAATTGCCAATTGAAATAATTTAAGTGACAAAATAAATGATAGCATTGAATTATAACCCATAGAATAAAGAATAAAGTACATAGAATAAAGTACATATCCATGAGTTCACACTGACATAAATAATTGCATAAACGAGTAAACAGAGGAGAAGAGATAGCTTTTCTTTATTTTTTTATAGTTTTGAGACAGTCTCACTCTGTTGCCCTAGGTAGAGTGTAGTGGTGTCATCTTAGCTCACTGCAACCTCAAACTCCTGGACTCAAGCAATCC